GATATCATATTAAAACAATGGACGAGGCAAATATTGAATATTTGGTGATTACAAAAATCATCAATGGAAATAAATGTGCAGTTGCGAAACTGCTCTCATTGTCCTCTGGCTTGTATTATGCCAAAATAAGTACCGTTGAAACATATACAGTAGACCTGAAATCTACGCAATCAAATGAAATTTTTATTTAGCACGATCGGCTCGGGCATCCTGGAGATACCATAATGAGGCGAATAATCAAAAACTCCATTGGCCATTCATTGAAAGATCGAAAGATCTTGAATTCAAATGAATTCGCGTGTGCTGCATGCTCACAAGGCAAATTGATAATAAAACTGTCACCAACCAAAGTTGGGGCTGAATCCCCATCATTTTTGGAAAGAATTCAGGGTGATATATGTGGACTTGTAGATCCACCATTTGGACCATTTAAATATTTTATGGTGCTCATTGATGCACCAACAAGATGGTCACACGTATGCTTGCTATCTACGCGTAATATTGCATTTGCAAGGTTACTTGTACAAATAATTAAATTGCGAGCACAATTTCCTGATTATCCAATAAAGAAATTCGCCTCAATAATGCCAGTGAATATTCATCACAAGCATTTGACGATTATTGCATGACTTTGGGAATAACCGTTGAACACCATGTTCCTTATGTACACACCCAAAATGGTATGGCAGAATCCTTTATCAAAAGACTGCAATTAATTTCCAGATCATTATTGATGAAATCCAAACTCCCCATCTCTGTTTGGGGACATGCAATATTACATGCAGTAGAACTTGTGCGAATTAGATCGATAAGTTATCAAAAATACTCCCCAACACAATTCGTGTTTGGAAAAGAGCTCAATATTTCACATTTGAGGATTTTTGTGTGCGCGGTTTATGTACCGATTGCACCACCTTAACGTACAAAAATGGATCCTCAATGTCGATTGGGAATCTATGTTGGGTACGAATCACCGTCGATAATCAAATACCTCGAACCAGTAACGAGTGATTTGTTTACTGCGCGATTCGCAGATTGTCATTTTGACGAAATAAATTTCCTGACATTCGGGGGAGAACAAAATCAACTGAAAAAAGAAATTTCTTAGAAAATACCTATGAATTTCCCGGATCCTCGTTCACAACAGTGTGAGTTAGAAGTACAACAAATTGTACATTTGCAACAAATTGCAAATCAATTACCGGATGCATTTAATGACTCTAGCAGAGTCACCAAGTCATATATTCCTGCAGCAAATGCTCTGGAAAAATTAAATATCCCAGAAGGACAAATGAAAAGTGCCAATGAATCATCTACGCGCTTGAAGCGTGGCAGACCTGTAGGTTCCAAGGATAAGAATCCGCGAAAGAAAAAAGTATTGGTTAATGATTCAATCATTAAAATAATTTGTAGTGACAAGGAACAAATATTTGAAGAGGATGCTCCTGAAGAGCCCACCTCATAAGAAAATGAAGTTATCGAGAATTCAATTAACTTCATCGCTACAAATAAAAGTTGGAACCGCAATGAAATAGTCATCGATAATGCATTTGCATATAACGTGGCACTTGATATAATGGAAAATGACGAGGATCCCAAACCAACATCAGTTGATGAATGTCGGAAAAGAAACGATTGACCAAAATAGAAAGATGTGATCCAGTCTGAACTAGATTCACTGGCCAAAAGAAATGTCTTTGGACCTATAATTCAAACACCATAATGTGTTAAGCCAGTTGGGTGCAAATGGGTATTTGTGAGAAAAAAAATGAAGACAATGAAATTGTCAGATACAAAGCGAGGCTTGTAGCCCAAGGGTTCTCACAAAGACCTGAGATTGATTATGATGAAACATATTCTCCAGTTATGGATGATATCACATTTAGACACCTCGTAAGCCTAGCAGTGTATGAAAAACTTGATATGCGCCTTATGGACGTAGTCACTGCTTACTTGTATGGCTCACTGGAAAATGATATTTACATGAAAATTCCTGAAGGATATGACATGCCTGAAGCATGCAAATCAAATCCCAGATAATGTTATTCTATCAAAGTACAAAAGTCTTTGTATGGACTTAAACAGTCTGGACGCATGTGGTATAATCGTCTCACTGAGTGTTTAACCAAAGAAGGTTACACTAACGACCCAATATGCCCATGTGTTTTCATAATGAAAAATGGGTCAAAGTTCGTGATCATTGCAATATATGTCGATGATCTCAATATTATCGGGACTCCTGAAGAGCTCCAATCAGCCGTGGAATACTTGAAAAGGGAATTTGAGATCAAAGACTTTGGAAAGACAAAGTTTTGCCTTGGTCTGCAAATTGAATATGTGGATAATGGAATATTCATCCACCAAACCGCCTATACCAAGAAGGTATTGAAACAATTTTATATAGATAAAACACATTCATTAAGTACCCTGATGATCGTCAGGTCACTTGATCCTAACAAGGATCCATTTAGACCAAAAGAGGATGATGAAGAGATACTTGGTCCTGAAGTACCATATCTCAGTGCAATAGGTGCACTCATGTACCTAGCGAATAACACTAGGCCAGATATTGCATTTGCAGTAAACTTATTGGCCAGATTCAGATAATCTCCTACCAAACGACATTGGAATGGGGTTAAGCATATTTTGCGCTACCTTCAAAGGACAAGTGATTTTGGCCTATTTTACCCGAATGATTCTCGACATGAGTTATTAGGCTATGCCGATGCTGGGTATTTGTCTGACCCATACAAAGCAAAATCGCAAACCGGCTATATATTTACATGTGGCGATACTGTGATCTCACGGAGATCCACAAAACAGACAATAACCGCCACATTATCAAATCATGCTGAAGTATTGGCTATTCATGAAGCGAGTCGAGACTGTGTTTGGCTAAGGTCAATGAACCCATCATATTAAAAAGAATTATGGGTTAATATCGGAAAACGAAAATCCTCTAACAACTATATATGAAGACAATCCAACTTGCATTGCTTAGTTAAAGGGTGAATATATTAAAGAAGATAGAACAAAACATATTTCCCTAAAATTTTTCTTTACTCACAACTTGCAAAAGAATGGTGAAATCGATGTGCAACAAATCTGATCATCTGACAATTTTGCAAATTTATTAACCAAGGTCCTACCGACAGCAACATTCAACAAATTGGTGAAAGGAATTAGAATGCGTCGGCTTAAAGATCTCAAGTAAAATCCAAATCAGGGGGAGCAAATCAATATAAGAATGATGTACTATTTTTCCTTCACTATGATTTTTTCCCACAAGGTTTTTTCATAGTAAGGTTTTAACGAAACACATTTTTGATATAAAAGTATCCAAGGGGGAGTGTTATATGATGCTCATACGTGGTCAATACATACATGTTGTGTGGATGCAACGCAGTGTAATTTCATTGGCTATATATATATACACATATATTAAATAGTAACATATAATATTACTACACCTACCGCATATACATATATATACACTACTTATTATAATAATATTAATATCATACAAAATAGTGATTAACAGCAGGGATAATTATTCCTATTCGTTATTTCTATATTAATATTTACAACAATATATTATTTATATATTCTAAACAATATATATAAAAAAATCTTTATAGCTATTATTATATTGGGTAAATTTATTGAACAGTGATTAATCTTATTCAACATCATCATAATTAGCATAATTTTTAAAATATAATTATCTAATAATATATATATATATAATTAAATAAATTGTTTTATTTTTCAAATTTTAGAAAATTACATGTATTTTCTAAAACTTGTTGCAATGAAAATAAATTTCTAACATGTATTTAGTTAATATCAGTTACATGTATGGTAATTGTTATTGTATATATTTTCTTCATCCTAATTAAAAGATCATTTTTACTATTTTTTTTTTAATTTTAAAAAATAATAATACATTAATACCGAAATATCTTTAATTTTTATTTAAATTACAAATGTATCATTACATATATAATTATTTTATACACAGGTAAAAAACAAAAATATCGAAATATCTTACACGCTTATGCTAATTAGTAGAATATTATTATTTTTTAATCTAAATAATATTTCAAAAGGGATTGAGGAAGTATTATATTTATATAAACTACCGATTAACAACGGTGAAAATGAATATTTTTCCATATGAATAAAGATACTCCCTCTGTCTCAATTTAATTGACACTTTTTTCATTTTGTATGATCCGTAACAATTGACATCTTTCTATTTTTTTTTTTTTAAAAGTTATTAAATCAAAACATATTTAACAAATATAGACCAACTTAATTAACTATATAATACTCCTTCCCTTTCACTTATCATGTTCACATTTTCATTTTTGTCTTGTCCTACTTATTATGTCACTTTCTTTTTTAGAAAAGAAATATACACTCTAATCTTATTTAGAAAAATTTAATTTACAATATTTTAATTTATCTTAATCTTAATATAAAACTATTTTTATTATACGATAATTATTTACACTAATACATTTTAATTATTTATTAATTATAACCCTCTTAAATTCTCGTATCTACAGTAAAGGAGGCACCTTAGTCTGGACGGAGGAAATATATACATCTAGTAGGATCCACCCAAAAACTCTTTCTTTCTATATCTCTCGTAAAAAACCAAATATATTATTTTTATTTACATTTAAAACTCCATATCTTTTATAACATTAGTTTATGTTAATTATAAATAAATAAACGTATTTTTTTTTATTTACCTGTATTATATTATCTTCTACAAAATGATATATATTGCATATATTTTTTATTGCGATATAATTTTTAAAATATGTAAATACATATTTATTAAGCATATATATACATTAAATTTATTTTAAAATTATCAATATTATTAATTATATAAAAAATAATAAAATAATATCATAATTCATAATTATTAAATAATTAAACAATATTGTCGTAAATATTGTGTAGATGTCACTTGAACCGGGATAGGATAGAGTATAAAATTATTAATTTTATATATAAATAAAACTAAACCATTAACAAAGGACGTACATTTTACACCTGATCTTTCGTATTTAATACTTTACACATCTTTTACAATTCTCCTCCGGTTTCAGATCCAACGGTCAGGATGAACCTACCCTCTCCATCAAGGTGCCGTCTAAAAAACCCTAACAACAATCAGATAGAAGAACTACCAGAAATCCCCACACGAGCAGCCGCCATTGTTGAAGTGATGAAACCTCATTCCATCCCTCAAAACAATCTCCCTCCCAACCAACCTCGATACATACTTGCAGAATTCATGGCAATCCTCGCAACTCCTCAGATTCTTACCGATCCTAATCGCACTCCTACTCCTCCCGCTCCGAATCAATCCATAAGCAACCGCAAGCTTCTCGCTATGCCTCCCGATCCTCTGCAGTTTCTTCTCATCTTCCTCGTCGCGCAGGCTGCAGGAAACGTCCGGTACGTATCCAATTGCTCCAATCGAATCCAGCAACGCCTCCAGCTTTTCGTAGATCAACCTGCTCTGAGGATGCGATCTATCTCCAGCTTTGAAGTAATGAATCTCATTCCTTATCGCAATCCAGCTCTTCCCCGGCGGCTTCCGCAACCGCTTTTTATTCAGCATTCTCCTCATTTCCTCAACCTCTCTCCATTTTCCGGCCGCCGCGAAGATATTCGACACCAGAATGTAGTTACCGGCGTTCGCAGGCTCTAGTTCCACGAGCTTTTCAAAAATGGCGGGAATATATTCCGTTGCAGAGTGCACTCGACACGCGCCGAGGAGACTTCTCCATGCCGAAGCTTCCGGCGGAATCTCCATCGAATCGATGAACTCCAAAGCTTTGTTAAAATCGCCTCCTCGCGCTAGCAGATCTACGACGCAGGCGCAATGCACTGCCTCCGGCGTAATTTTGAAGTCACGGATCATCGAATTGTAGAGGCGTAGGCCGGATTCTACGAGACCGGAGTGGCTGCATGCTGATAGGATGGATACAAACGTTATCCTGTCCGGTACGAAGCCGTCTTCCAGCAATTTCGAGAAAGCGGACAGCGCAGCGCCTCCTCGTCCATGAACGCCGTAGGCCGCGATCATCGCATTCCACGAGACTAAGTTTCGATTCGGCAAGTTCATAAACACAAGCTCGGCGTCGCTCAAATCGCCGCACCGTGCGTACATAGTGACGAGCGCAGTCGAGACCGATAAATAATCGGGAAGAAACAACCTCCGCATCGCGTACGCGTGTACGGATTTCCCTGCAGGAAGATTAGCCAAATCCGTGCACGACGAGAGCGCAGTGATGATCGTCGCCTCATTAGGTCGAGGCTCCTGTTGGCGAACAAGTTCGCCGAAGATCGACAGAGCCTTTTCCGACTCGTTGTTATCGTTGTAACAGGCGATCATTGAGTTCCACAATATCAAATCCTTCTCCTCAAACCTCTCGAACAAGAACTTCGACGCCGCCTCGCAGTTGCAGTCGAGGTACATTTTCGTTAGCGCCGTGTGCAGAGGCGAATCGATTTCAATTCCGAGTTTCACGGCGAAGCCGTGGATGGATCTGCCAAGATTCAGATAAACTTCGTCGTCGCAAGCTGCAAGAACCGATAGTATCGTGTGGGAATTAGGTGCGATGCTCGAATACCATCCCATTTTAACGAACAAATCCAGAGCCCGATCCCTCACTCCGTTACCAGCCAACGTAAGGATCGCCGTGTTCCACGAAGGGACTTCGGGATTCAACATCTCATTGAAAATCCTTACGACAGATTCGACACAACCGATTTCTCCAAACAGATTTAAGAACACGCTCTTCACCGAGGCACTGTCTTCCATCCCGAGTTTGATCGAATGAGCGTGAAGGCTCCGACCGTTTCTCAACCCATCCGGAAACCTTTCGCACAACGGTAGCACGATGCAAAGAGTTCGTTCATTGACGCCTACCAACTGCATCGTCCCGAAGAAAGCAACGGCATCGTCGACGTAACCATTGTCGACGAACACTGAAAGCATCGTGTTCCACAAAGCGATATCCTTTAAGGAAACAGAGGAAAACAGAGCGTAGGCAGAATCGACAAATCCCAAACTGCCGTATACATTAATCAACGCGTCGACAACCCGTAAATTTTGACCAAAACCACACTTGATCGCCTGCTGATGAACCTCCATCCCAAATCTTACAAACCTTGATTCTCTGCACGCCTGCAGAACGACGAGTAATGTCACTGAATCAAACCTCACTCCATCGACCAACATCCGAACGAACAAACTCAAAGCCTCGAAGATCATCCCTGCTATGAAGTATCCCTTAATCATCGCATTCCAAATCGCGGATTTCCCTACTTCTACCATTCGAAAAACACGTTCTGCCGAAACTACGTCGAACTTCGAGTAGAATCCGATCAACGCCGTGGCGAGATGAGCGCCGGAGTTGAGCAAACCGTTCCTCAAACAGTAGGCGTGCAATTCCTTTCCGAACCATACTTCCATCAGCTCCGCCGCCGCCGCAATCACAGCCACCGCCGTCCGTGCATTCAGCCTCGGACCGACTCTCTGCATCGCCTCGAAGTAACTCATCGCCTCGTCGAATTCCGTTAACTCGACGCATCCTGCAACCATGGCGTTCCAAGCAACGACGTCTCTCTGCGGCATTTCGTCGAACACGTTGGCTGCTTCACGGAGACAGCCGCATTTGCAGTAGAAATCGATGAGGCTGGTTGCGACGCGCACGTCGTTGATCAAAGCGGTGGACGCGACGCTCCGGTGAATCTCCCGGCCGATGTCCGGCGCGTTCAGATTCCGGCAGGCTTTGAAGACGAGAGGCAAGGCGTCGGCGGTTGGAGGTAGGGCGAGCGAGCGCATTTGGGAGTATGTGGCGAGGACTGCAGCATCGTTGCGGAGCTTGGCGTGATGGATGATGAGTGAATTCCAATTTAGGGTTGATGGAAGTTCTTTGAGAATTTCCATGATTCTTCTTCGGAGCAGAGGTCATCGCCATGGCAATGCCGGAGGTTTGGATAAAGGAGCATAAAATAAAAATAAAAGGGTGTGGTTAATCCGCAATACGACGTCGTCCACATGCATCCACTAGTCCAAAATTTTGTCCGGTGAGTGAGATTTGATATTACATAAGATATATTATACATAAGATATATTACATGAGTATTTCACCTAAAAGTTTAGGACAATAAAAATAAATATGCTTAATTGTTGTAGTATTACTATTACTATAAGATTAGTTAATAAAATATTAATTATTTCTATAGTTAATTATTATTTTATATATTTTATATGAGCACAGTTAGAGTGCTGAATTGAAAAAAATCAGCACGGTTCTAATTATTTAAATCAACACCCGTAATATATACAAATAGCACACAATTTTATTATATATAATCATATTGTTTATAGTAAAGACATGTGTTGTTGGTTCATAATTATAAGTGTGTTGTATACTAGTATATGGTGTGCTGAAATTAACTATTATTTGTGTTTTGTAAGATTATAAAATGTGTTGTTAGTTTATGTATTGTATTTGTGTTGTTGGTTTATAATTACAAGTGTGTTGTATAATAGTATGTAGTATGCTGAAATCAAATATTTGTTTGTACTGTATAAAATTACAGCATGTGCGGTTAATTATGTGTTGTATTTGTATTATATAAATACATACGGTGTGCTGTCTGAGCGCATCCTATGTGATACGGTGTGCTGTCAGCATGGTGCTGAATTTTAAAGTTCAGCACCATAACGCTGCCATTGTATATATAATATATATATGTACGAGTGAATTATTATATGTATATGTATGTTTGTATAGTTGATGTGACGGTGATGTTGTACAAAAGGTAAATGAGAGAGAAATACATAAATCGAGCGAGATAGATAAATGAGTGGGAAATATGTATGTCTTCCTCTTTCATTCAGTACATATTACCTATATATATATATACTAGAACACGCTTTTACGCGGTATACCGCGTGACTATTCTATAATGTAATGTAGTGAAACATTATTTATTTGAAATATAAACTGTAAAACAAAAATGCAATCGAATTATTTGCGCTGAGGTCGGTTGGTCAGGTCGGTTGGTCGTCGGTCGGTTGGTCTGGTCGGTTGGTCCTCGGTCGGATGGTCAGGTGGGTTAGTTAGTGGTCGGATAGGCATGTCGGAAGGTCCTCGGTCGGTTGGTCTGGTTGGTTGGTCCTCGGTCGGATGATCAGGTCGGAAGGTCCTCGGTCGGTTGGTCGTCGGTCGGACGGTTAGCAGTCGGACAGACAGGTCTGATGTCAGCAGGTCAGATAGACAGGTCTGATGGTCTGCGGTCGGATAAAGTAGGTCGGCTGGTCTGCGGTCGGATAGGTAAGTCAGCTGGTTCGCAGGCGGATAGATAGGTCGCTTGGTGGGTGCGGCCAAAGAGTCTTTTGGTCTAGCGATTGGTCTCTGGATTGGTCGGTTGGGCTATTTGAGTTCTGGAACTGGTGGAGGTGTTTGGTGAGGCGGTTGATGTAACCGACCAGACGACGTTTCAAAACGTTTCGTCTTGGGCGGTTGACGGCGGTTGCTGGCGACGGTTCCAAAACGTCTTTTCAAGCCAGTACAAAGGTAGGTTAAGGGCTAAATTGTCATTTTCGAAATGAGGGGCAAGATAGACTTTTCAAGTGGCAGATCCGTACATTCTCGTGTATAACAACATACAAGTTTTAATACCCAAATCAACTAATACATAAGGTCGACTTTTAAAGTCAACTATAGAAAATTAGTAAACATGTTGAATCCATTTTGTTCGTGGTAAAAGCAAAAGTTTCTCAAATAATTCAATAACAATGAGATTTAAAGATAATTACTTTTCACTTTAAAAATTTACTCGGGAAAAAAAAGCATGTTTAAACAAAAAAAAATATATTTTTGCACATATACATTATTTTTGCACAAGATTAGTCTATGTTTTGATCCTTTATTCCACAATCAAGGGCCCTCAATATCAAAATCAGAAATAACAAAGAGCAAATTTATTAACACTATTGGCGAAAAAATCGTAAAAATAAATATGCTACTCTAAGTCAAACAGTTTACATACAATGCTATTTATAAGGTCAGAGAGCAATTCTTAGAGCCATTGGCATACTAATATATTGGAATATGACAACATGGTCAACCAAAAATAGAACCAATTCTACCGTAAACCTCGTATTTCAGCTACCCGAAAGATAATGCAACAACTTGTGGCTCTTTTTCTTCCAAAATTCAGTCGATAAGAATTAATAGGGTACACCATCACAAAATAGAATAAAAATAGCAATTTTTTAAAAAGACACCAACAATATCTGTTACGCACAAAAAATAATAATAATAATAAAAATAAGGATAGCAGAATCTTAAAGGAAGTTAGACACGAAGTCGGGTGGAAAAGAAAAAAATTTGTGCTCAGGTCGGTTGGTCCTTCGTCGGATCGGCAAGTCGGAAGGTCTGCGGTCAGATAGGCAGGTCGGTTGGTCCTCGGTCGGTTGGTCTGGTCGGTTGGGTTGCAGGTCGGAAGGTCCGCAGGTCGGATAATCTGCGAGTCAGACGGTTCGTAGGTCGGAAGGTCCGCAGGTCGGATAGTATGGGAGTCGGACGGTTCGGAGGTCGGAAGGTCCGCAGGTTGGACAGTCTGCAAGTCGGACGGTACGCAAGTCGGAAGGTCCGCAGGTCGGATAGTCAGCAGGTCGGATAAATAAGTCGGATGGTCTGTAGTCGGTTGGTCCGTGGTCGGACCAAGTAAAGTCAGCTGCTACGGAGGTCGAGCGAAGTAAGGTCTGGTATTTGATTGCCCACTTAAGTGAACAATAGTTTTGTCGTTTGGTGGGGGCGGCCAAAGAGTCTTTTGGTCTAGCGACCAGTTAGTCGCTGGATTAGTCGGTTGGGTTATGCAGTTGGTGAGACGGTTGCTGTAACTGACCATGCGACGTTTCAAAACGTTTTTTTTGGGCGGTTGACGGCGGTTGCTGTAACCAACCAGGCGACGGTTCCAAGCGTTTTCTTCAAGGAATATTTAAGGATTTGGATTTTTCTGGAGAAGGCATCTTCAATCATCTACAAACGACATCAAAGTCCAGAGATTCGGGGATCACCACTTTAATTTCCAGCATTTTAATTTCCAGTTAATTTTCTTATGTACCGTACAGTGTTTAGAGATTTCTAATATCAGACACTAATTAATCAAGTTCGAAGATAATTTCCTATTTTCGGATTTTACTTTTTGTTTGTTGAAAAAATACATCAACAATATCAATAACAAAACAATGGACTACAAGAAATATTGAAGAATTTGAGTTTTCAAAATTCGGAAAGAGATATCAATGTTCAATTTTGATAAGTTATGTGAAAAACACAAAAGCAATTATAAAGAAAACACACCCAAAATTACAATAAAAAAGAAAATAGAGGAGAATGTAGATGAAATGTTTGAGATAAGAAGGGTGACCTTGCATCTCTTTATGAGTTTTGAAATGTCAAAAATAGCAAGGATATTTCAACTTTGATAATTGTTACGCACAAAAAATAATAATAATAATAAAAATAAGGATAACAGGATCTTAAAGGAAGTTAGACACGAAGTCGGGTGGAAAATGAGAAAAATTTGCGCTCAGGTCGGTTGGTCAGGTGGGTTGGTTAGCGGTCGGATAAGCAGGTCGGAAGGTCCTCGGTCAGTTGGTCTGGTCGGTTGGTCCTCGGTCAGATGATCATGTCGGTTGGTTAGCGGTCGGATAGGCAGGCCGGAAGATGCTCGGTCGGTTAGTCTGGTCGGTTGGCCGTCGGTCGGATGGTTAGCGGTCGGACAGACAGGTCTGATGGTCAACAGGTCGGACAGACAGGTCTGATGGTCTGCGGTCGGATAAAGTAGGTTGGCTGGTCTCCGGTCGGATAGGCAAGTCAGCTGGTCCGCAGACGGATAGACAGGTCGCTTGGTGGGTGCGGCCAAGGAGTCTTTTTGATAATTGTTACGCACAAAAAGTAATAATAATAATAAAAATAAGGATCGCAGGATCTTAAAGAAAGTTAGACACGCAGTCGGGTGGAAAAGGAAAAAAATTTGCGCTCAGGTCGATTGGTAGGTCGTTTGGCATGGTTGGTTGGTCCTCGGTCGGATGGTCAGGTGGGTTGGTTAGCGGTCGGATAGGCAGGTCGGAAGGTCCTCGGTTGGTTGGTCTGGTTGGTTGGTCTCAGTCAGATGATCAGGTCGGTTGGTTAGCTGTCGGATAGGTAGGTCCGAAGGTCCTCGGTCGGTTGGTCCTCGGTCGGATGGTTAGCGGTCGGACAGACAGGTCTGATGGTCAGCAGATCGGACAGACATGTCTGATGGTCTGCGGTCGGATAAAGTAGGTCGGCTGGTCTGCGGTTGGATAGGCAAGTCAGCTGGTCCGCAGGCGGATAGACAGGTCGCTTGGTGGGTGCGGCCAAGGAGTCTTTTGGTCTAGCGATTGGTCTCTGGATTGGTCGGTTGGGCTATTTGAGTTCTGGAACTGGTGGAGGCGTTTGGCGAGGCGGTTGATGTAACTGACCAGACGACGTTTCAAAACGTTTCGTCTTGGGCGGTTGCTGGCGACAGTTCCAAAACGTCTTTTCAAGCCAGTACAAAGGTAGGTTAAGGGCTAAATTGTCATTTTCGAAATGAGGGGCAGGATAGACTTTTCAAATGGCAGATCCGTACAATCTCGTTTCAATTTTGATAAGTTATGTGAAAAACACAAAAGCAATTATAAAGAAAACACACCCAAAATTACAATAAAAAATAAAATTAGGAGAATGTAGATGAAATGTTTGAGATAAGAAGGGTGGCCCTGGATCTCTTTATGAGTTTTGAAATGTCAAAAATAGCAAGAATATTTCAACTTTGATAATTGTTACGCACAAAAAATAATAATAATAATAAAAATAAGGATAGCAGGATCTTAAAGGAAGTTAGACACGAAGTCGGGTGGAAAAGGAGAAAAATTTGCGCTCAGGTCGGTTGGTCAAGTCGGTTGG